GACTATGGAAAGGGGGGGCACTGCACCAGAGTGGGCTAGGGAGGGGGGTGACATGGTGACAAGCAGAGTGCAGCCAGGAGAGTCCCGAGGGCTCGCTCTGCCCCTGGGGGCTGACCTGAACCGGGGTGTCACCTGGGGTCCTGATGATAAATTTCCCCCCATTTCCTAAGCTAATAGGTGTGTGCTACCTGCAACAGACTGTGCTTCCACTGACTTGAGCACCCCGATGGCCTCTCAAATCCTGCAGAAACCAGGGTTAACTCTTTCTTCTTCCCACTTATCCTTCCCACCCCTGCTGAATCCCAAAAGTAAATCAGATTAGCCTAAAATGCAGTTAGAAATAGGTCAACCATCCCAAAATCTAATTTAAAAATATACCAAAATGGGACGGAAAATAATTCTTGAGAATTTCTATGAAATTAGAAGCAGAAGAGACTGTTTTTTTCTCTCTGCTTACTCCATCAGACGGGCGCTGACCCGGGTCAGGACTTAAGTGGGGTCCATCACAGACACAGGACTGAAGAGGCACTGCTCGCCATCGCACCACGTCACCTGCAATGCGCACTTGTGCCGAAATGAGTTTCCACAGCACACATGCTCACGTCTAAAACCCTGGGGTAAAATAAAAGGGAGATAAATTACACACAAGCTGAGCTGCAGGATACAGGACAAACAGCCCGTCCTGGAGACGGGGGTTCTCAGTCTGCTCCTCCAGCTGCCCCCTGACAAGCCATCGTGTTTCGACTTGGTTTCCCATCTGCCCCAGGAGATAGAATCAGCAGAAAGGCCACTATCATCTACTCCCAGAGTCGGAAGATGCCAGCACTGAGCAAGCACGCCCGCTGCAGACCAGGGCAGCAGGAGAGACCTGGGAATGCAGAGAGCAAGAGGCTGCCTGATGCGGGTCCTTCTGTGGGAGCAAAGACCAACCGGTGGCCTCGCAGTGCACGCAAGCCCTGGCTCTAGCTGCTGCTCCGCTACTGGGGCTTTCCAGGAGACCCAGAGGCTACATTTCCAGAGTGATGGCGCTTCTTCTTGCAGGGGAAAGATATTTATTTATTTATGCATACAAGAGCTGGGGTGTAGGCTAGAGGTGTGGGGAGTGAGAGGACTCACCAGAGACAGAGTGGGGAGCAGAGAGGTGGATCTACTGAAATACATTGTTGAGGGGAGCAGCAGGGGAGACAGGAGAGGTCTGCTGCGCCATGTGGGTCAGCTCCCTGGCTGGGGATTGAACTCGTGCTGCTGATAGCGTCATTGTGCTCAGACTTAACCCCTTGCACTGCCAGGGAGGCCCCTGGAGCTGCTGCTTACCAGACAGTTCCTTATAGAATGTTTGGGGGTGGGGGACAACAGCAGAAAGGCATTTTAAGGATCCCTCCTGGAGACAACTTCTTGTGCCCCCCTCTGACACCGATCCTGGCATCTAATTTGACCAATTCTTCCTCTCAAATCATAAAATAATAGTGGCCACATTTATTGAGGACTTGCAGGCAAGATTTAAGCAGAGGGTTTACGGAGGATTTGAGGGTGGGTGGGGTGTGGGGACCTGCATCTGAAGAGGTGTGAACCTGTACCCCCAAATCACAAACAGGCTGCACAGCACCAGTACCTCAATGCATACATGCCTGCACACTTGATAGAAATCTGTGAAAAAGATAAGTAAAAATAAACACAAGCTTTCCATACGTCATCTCATTTGAGCCTCACGGATAAAAGCTATAAAGTAGGTTTTGAACACAGTCAGGTCACAGCCCTGGGAACAGAGGTTCTGAAAGCTAAACACCTTGGCCAATATCATGCAGCAGATAAATGGCAAAAGGCAGGACTTGAACCTGGCTCTCTGCACTTGAGATGCAGCCTGCATCGAAGCCCCGCCGACCCCTCACTCTGTTAGTTCCTTATGGGCTCCCTCTCGGCTGCAGGGGACCCACCTCCCACGACCCCTCCTACCAGCTGCTGTTGGATTTTTTCTCCAAACCCCTATTCCCCTTCTACCTGGTTCCCAGTACCCAGCAAGGCAGACCCAGAAAGGAGGGGATTTCAATAGCAATTGCCAATGAATGGCCCCTCGCCTGGAAGTCTGCCTAAGCTTCCTCCCCTGCCAAATTCCCCGGCCTGCCTGCCAGGGTCCTCCAGCTCAGGCTGCCCCAAGCTTGGCCGACTTTCCCCAGAAACACCCACCTCATGCTTCTCCTCCACGCTCCCGCCATGCTGTTCCTCTGCCTGGAAAGCATTCTCCCTGACGCCCCTGGTCATCCTGCCATCAGGAGGATGAACTGAATGAACAGACGAATAACACCCCAGCCCACCCGGTGTCCACCATCACTGTCCCCTTAGCAAGCCGAAGCCCAGCCCAGCCCAGGGCACTGCTCTGGCAGCTTCAGACCAAGGTGGGCATTTATGACACAGCCGCGCAGGTGCTAGAGCATATTCTGGCACAGTGTGTCGGCACCTGGTCTAAGCTAAGCTAAGCTAAGCTTTTCTTCCACCCAGGAGGTAGGTCTTTGCCTCACGCCCAGGCTAAACAAAACCTCTCCAACCTGCTTCTACAAGGACACAACATCGGCTTCTCTTTAGAGAATTCCAAATGCCAAATTTGGTAGACGGCTTTAGCTGGATGTGAGATGTGAAAACAGAAAACTCCCCATTCCCATGGCACAAAAGAGGCGGCCCAGGCTTCAGGCCCCTCCGTCCTCTTCTGTCCCAGCACCGGCACGTGGCATTCACATGGCCTCTACTCTTCCCAGTGAAAGAATGCACCTAGGTTCTGTGATGCACCTGACTCACCTTCTGTGAAGTTACCACTCCATGGAGGAGCCACCTGCAGTTTTCTGCTCTGGTTAGTGCATTGCTAGTTGAGCTAATAAATAGGAATCGATCTTTCTCATTCTCTCTCACTCAGAGTGTGTGTGTGTGTGTGTGTGTGTGTGCGTGCACGCCCTGTCACTTATGAAGACGTCCATCTATGATTTGGCTCTTGTGAAATGGGCTCCCCCATAAGGAAAGACCACAATTGCCTCATATGGGTCTTTTATCCTGCAAAGCACCTTACGGGCACTCTGAGGCTAATCATGACATCTAGTAATGGCAAGAACACAAATGATGGCAATGTGGAAGAAAATCAACACTCCAAGACGTCACCCCCCCATGTTCAATGTCATCTGCTTTAAGTCACTAATCATTTATTTTGAAAAGGACAGTGCTGGTCTGCTCTGGCCTAGTTTTGAAATTTTGGGGAATTTCTGTCCCCAAAGGCATAAGCACAGATGAAGTTCGAGGGACACGCAAGGCTGGCGCCCCAGGTTCCATGGGACTGAGGCGATCCGGACGCCTCCGTCTAGACTAATGATGTTAATGGATTCAGAGTCACCGAATGGACTAGAAGTCTGTGCCACCTGAAGGAGGTCCTCCAACCTGATTACTGAAAGGAAGGCTTCCCAGGACACTACTTTCTCTTGTAAAATAAGCCGGTGAAGCCTTCCTCAGCAATCTGAAAGGAGCCATAAACCAACATATGGAAAGAGATTATGGGATGAACTAATTACATGTTCCTTAGAGTGGAACATGGGTGTTTCGCAATCTTCTTGAGGAAGTCAAAGTAAATCCATATGAAACAACTGAATTCTGTGTCTTTTACATAAAAAAACAAAGAAACCAAGACAAGAAACACTATTAGGCATGTTTAGTCAATGATTTTTCTGTCAAGACCTACAAATAAAAGAGAACGATCTGTTGACAACAGTGAACACTATTCAACATTAAGAAATAAACTCAGTTTATTGTCTATGCTGTCCTTTGGCGTTCCCGTTTTTAGGAGCCTGACATAAACAGTAACCAGCATTCACGGAGGAGTCTCCTCCACGACAAGAGGGCCACAGAGTGATGTATTCATTGAACTGAAATTTAAACTACCAAAAAATTGAGAACCACACTTCAGATTTTTCCATTCCTTAAAGTAAGACCAAAAGAGTAAAACAAAATTTAGCATGCAAGTATTTTATGAAAATTTATAAATGGTCCATAATATGAATGTAATATAAATAAGTCCACAATTCTCTCTCTCTCTCTCTCTCTCTCTCACATACACACACACACACGCACATACACGGACCTCTTATGAATAACAGCTGCCAGTTAAGGGAGCTCATAAACATAACCACGCTTTTTTCCAGCTTTTAGTGATCAGTGACAGGACTCATGTCTCTGTCATTAAAAGAACACGCTTAGGGGAGTCGTAGCATTAAGATTATAAAAAACACCCCTGGAGGGTGGGACCCCATGCCGCTGAATCATGGGCTGTGTTACCTCAACTTAATAAAAAGGCAATCAGAAGTGCAGGTGGCCAAGCCCTCACAGCAGACCCTTCCTCGAGATCGCTTTCATTCTCATCACCCCGTTTAAGAAGACACTGTGCCCCAGAGACACAGAGAAGCACAGACAAGCATGGAGACATGGAGCCGGGGAAGCAGGAGGTGGGGGCGGGCCACAAAGTCCCGACAAGTGCCCTCCACCCCGGCCCCAGCTCTCAGCACTAACGTAAATAGCAGCTACTCAAGGAAGCAGGTTACTTGGGGCCTGTCCTTGGCCTAAGCAATGTCAAAATTGCGTTTTGTGGGGGTGAAGGAGAGTGAAGGGGTCAAGCTGGGAGGTCATTATCAGCGTCTCACTGCGAGACAGAGCATTTGCATTTTCAGCCTTCATTTTGTAGCCCAAGTTTACCCATATTTTATCCAAATAGTTACCTTCTGTATGTATTGGAGAATAATTCACTGCCAGAGGAGGAGGAGGAGGTGGTGGGGAGAGAGAGAAGGAAGCTGAAACAGCGGAAAGCCAACGTCGACGACAGAGTTTGACTCCCCTTCCCGACAACACGCGTAACCCGGCCCGGGTTTCCTCGACTTGGGCCTGAGCCCCCTCTGCGTGGGTGATGCCATCCCCTCCACCTCGTCCCCTGCAGTCCTGCCTGCCCTGATGGGGTCCCTCCCGCGGGCACCTACCTTCCGGGAGGGCCCCGGGCAGGACCACGTGGAGGAAGCCGCGGGCCAGCCCGAAGAGCAGCGGCTGGGGCTCCCGGAAGACATCCGCCTCGTAGCGGGCGGGCGGCAGGGCGAATTCCAGCCGCTCGGGCTCCCCGGGCCCGGTGCAGGCCACCAGCCCCAGCAGCAGCAGGCAGCTGAGACTCAGCTGACACAGGAGCATAGTCAGCGCCAGCCCCCAAACATGAGGCAGAGCGGGGAGGCCTCCCTTCTCGGAGCAAGCCTCTCCGGAGACAGCGGAGACGCGGCGAGGGCTGGGTCAGCCGAGGCTCCCGCTTTCTGGCCGGTCTGGCGCGGTGAGGGGCTGGGTCTTCTCCTGGAGCTCAGTTGCTCAAGGCACCATCCCTGGCAGGGAGAGAAGGAGGCAGCGGTCACCACGGTGCGCAGCTTGCGGGCACCCAGCCCTGAGCCTGATCTGGGTAGGAGATGGGTACTCTGAGCCGGCTGCAGAGCCCCAGGGCCCGAGAACCAGAAGGCCCCTCCTCAAAGGGCCAGACTCACAAGGCAGACCCTCTGGGGTCAGCACACACCAGCACAGGGAGTGCTGAGAAGCTGTGCGCCCCTGGAAAGGAAGCCGGCGACAGCACCTCCTGGATCCCAGCTTCTGTCCCACATGCGTCACCAGGGGGGCCAGTTGCAGGCACGATCCCATTTTACAGACGAGGAAATGGATGCAGAAAGGCTTGCCCTTGTCGGCGCTGATCTATGGTGGACCAGAATTCAAGCCCAGCCGCCCGCCTTCAGGACCCAAGCAGACCAGGACACCAGGAGGCTCCCTGCCGAGACCCCTCCAGGGGGCCCCCAGCATTAGACTCAGGCGTGGGTCCTCTCCCAGGGAATCTTACGCTGCTGTTGCTCTCCTCACCTGCTCACTGGTCCGATCTCCAGCATCCCCACCTGCACTCACCGCCAACCCACGCTAGGATTGCAGAACATCGAGGTTGGAACCAAACTCGCTAAGGCCCTGACACTGCAGCATCTTTCTAACAGTTCACCAGGCGATCCCAAGGGAATCCTTCGCCCCAAGTCAGCGCCTGGACAGCTAGGGGTCCAGGAGATGAGAGGAGGGGCACAGCGAGAAAGAAACAAGACTAAAAGCAGCTACCCTCCCGTGGCTAAGTGGGGCCAGGGTCGGAGACCTCTTGCTGAAAGGAAACCTGAATGCGCCGAGAGAACTGTTTCGCTGGTGCCATTGCATGGGGCTCGGAAGTCAAACAGAACCCCCCAGAGAACTCAGGGGGGTCATCAAGAAAGTGCCACACTGCACAAGAGGCTCAGGACCCATCACCTCCCTCCCACCAGGTCAACGAGTTCAGACAAGAGGTGAGAGAGGTGAGCTCTTTGAGTGGAGATATCAGTTGACCTGGAACCCTTGCGCCCTGCCTGGTCTTCCACCGGCTATCCACTCCCGCTACTTCTGCACCGAGCCGCCGCCTGCAGGAAGGCTCTTTATCAAATCAGGGGCTGCTCAGACCCTCAGTGGCTCCCAGGTCAGACCTCGCAACCCCCTTGCTCCCGTGTCAAGGCTCCATCTCACCCACCGCAGAGCTGGTGACCATTTGCAAAGTGCTGTCGCCCCGCCAGCCATGGTCTCTGTGCCAGCCCGGCCTGGGCTCTGGACTGCTCTAGGCTTTCACGGGTTCTGCTAGGAAATGAATCCCGCGCACATCCAAACACAGCCTGCCCTGCTCAGTCCTCACGTCCTTTCCAGAGAGAACAAACAAGAAGGAAGCAGCGCAAGTTAGCTTTGGCAAGGTCCCTCTATGAAGTTGCCAGGCCACCCAGGGTCAGAGGAAGGTAGTTAAGGAGGAGTGTGGCTACCAGGTAGGATGGGACTAATCTCCCGTCAGCAGGCAGGCGTGCACACACCCACCCCACACCATGCACACAGACCAGATGCTAACTGCTGCCATGCACGCACCTCCCACAAGATACATACCACACGGAATAATACACACTGTGCACACACACATCATGGACACACGCCACACACTAGCACATGCCACACACGCCGACAACACACATGTGTACGCATCACACACGCTCCCTGGATCTGCACACAACACACTCACTATGTTCCTATCACACACAACACACAGCACCATATGCATGCATGCATACATGCACCGCACTCACAATACCCGTCATCGACACACATTCCCTGGAACCACACTCACCTCTTATCTCAGTTTTCTGCTAGGGGACAGGCAAGGAGCGCGGCAGCTGGAGGGATTAAAGGCTCAGCTGCTAAGAAGGGCTGGCTTCCTGGTAATGCCACCAACCCCGGGCCAGGTCAGCCGGAGACACAGCAGGAGAGAAATAGCCAAAGGCCCCTGGGAGAGCCATGAATAAACATGTTCAAACTTCCTCATGAAAAGCAAGAAGGTAAAGTCCCTGAATGAAATACAAACTGCTCCCTCTTGACTTCTCCCCGCCCCCACCCTCCCACTGCGAATGGAAGGATCTGGAAGGATTTGTCCAGTTAGCACCTGGAGCTGTGGGGCCAGAGTTCTTTACACCTTGATCCAAAGTGTAGGTCTTTCTTACTTCTGAGCATTAATTTTAAGACAATCACAAAATTCGGCTGCTTAGGGCCTCCCCTGGTGGCGCAGGCGGTTGAGCGCTGCGCTGTGAAGCTGTCCGCAGCCTCTGCAGTGTGGGTTCGATCCCGGCGGGCTGGCGAGGGTCCCACATGGCAGGACAGACCTCTCCTGTCTCGCCCGCTGCTCCCCTCAGCAGTGTGTTTCAGTCAGTCTGCCTGTTCTGTTCCCCGCTGTGTCTCTGGTGAGTCCTCTCACCCTCCCACACCTCTGGCCTAGACCCCGGTTCTCGTATGAATAAATAAATAAATCTTAAAAAAAATTTGGCTGCTTACAAAACACTATACAACTGTTTTCAGTGGTGGTGCCAAAAGAGACGGTCTGGGCTTGATAGGCAGGTATAAGGGGAGCAAGAGTGACTGAGAGCAGCCCTGGACTTCACCACTGCCGAAGGTTCTCAGGGGCCAACAGGTACAGCTGCACAATGTGGGGTGTAGACCCGAGATGCAGACCATCCACCTAACTTCTCCGAGCGAGGCCCACTCATGTGCATTTTCCACCCTCTTGCCTTTGGGCTGATGCTTAAAACAACTGAACTTTGAGATCCAGAACTATTCTGAAGAACACCAGCCTGGCTAATTCACGTCCAAAGACGTGTTGGACTCCCCAAACACCACCGCAAGCCAAGGCCCTGCCTGCAAAGACTCTTCTATTCAGCTGCCATGTGGGGGCCCTGATTTACTCATCCCTGTGCCTCCAGAGGCTGGCACGCAGTTGGTGGAAGCTTCGCAGGCCGCAGGGCCGGCAATGAGAGGTAAAGGGTGGAAATGCTTAACGAGTCATTAAACCTGCTGGGGAAGCTCTGTAGGCACAGACCAGAGGTGGGGGCATGGAGATTGTCCATCATTACAAAGAAAATTCCACAGAGGAATGAATTTCCCCCTAGCCAGCCCCTCCAAAAGAAACCAAAAACCCAGACTATAAGGACTGCCTGGAACGAGGCCACTCTCTGCCCACCTAATAAACCTGCCTTTAAAAATACAGCCTTTGCCAGCTTGTGTTTATGCAAATGTCTTTTTAGTAAGCTCGGAGTGCCACTGACTAGGAAGCCATTGAAATCTTTCTCAGAGGTAGCCCAAGGACCCCACTCACTCACTGAAGCCCAACATCTGAGCCCCATGACAGGCACTCGGTTCAAGGACTGCTAAGATCAAACGGGAAAGGGAGGGCTGTACCTATGTCAAAACTGTATCAAGCGTTTGTTGATTGAAGTTCCACAGCCTCGGGAGAGAGAGGCTGGGGTGTGCAGCTTTGCTCTCCAGCACATGTTCTCCACAGACTGTCTCCTGTCAGATGCTCCTGGGCAGAGCCTGGGGTCTACCATCCTCGGGACCACCTCTTCTCCGGGACCTCGGCTCTGCAGGCGCTGCAAGTTGCTCCCTCAGGGCAGCAAAGGCACTCAGCTCATCAAGAGCCTGAGCCTATGGGCACAGATTCCCGGTTTCCGCTCTAAATGCATGGAATTCAAGCCAACCAGGAAAGGGGCTCAAGAATGCGCACTGTGAGCAAATAGCTGACATGACTATGATCCTGAGACCAGAGATCAGTGCTTCCACCAGCACCGGTGTCAGCACAAAGACAGCGACGGTGGACTGACCATCGAGCTTCATGGCCTCTCTTTCGCTGGAGCTCCTTTTAAAGGATCTTTGTAGTAGATGTTTGTCATCTGGGCATTTTGGCAGGAGAGATGGGAGCTACCGAACATCAGAGGTCCCCTTTGCAAACCTGAGGGCAGCAGCCCTGGCTGTCATTATGAGGCCAGCTGAGGCATCCAAACTGTGGGGTGGAGTTGGTGGGGTGTGCGCTGGGGCTCAGGCTCAGCCAGACAGGTGCCTACCCTGGGCCTGGAGCCACACACTTGAGGAGGGGCAATGCCAGCAGCCACCCCCACGTCACACTCCCATACTAATCAGGGGTCCCGACTCCCGCTCCCCTGCATCCTGGGCCTGGCAGGCCAGCCACTTGCCTAAGCCACTCGGTACCCAGTCTCTTTTCTGCTAAAGTGACCCAGAGTTGGCTTCTCTCATTCATAACGAAGCAACCTGACCCTCAACAAATCCTCAGGGAGCTTTGGGCCTCCTGCTAAGCTTGTTTCCTTCCTTCCTATTTTAAACTGTACTAACACAACAGCATTTGGTTTCAAGTTTTATGATTTTCCCTCTACCCCGCAGTGCTTCACCGTACTAGAACGTGGAAGCAGTCTGGCGTGGAAATCACACGGACGGTCATAAACATATGGCCGGCATACGGCAGGCAAGCAAGGCTAAAGGGCACTGTCTAGAGACAGTGGCGGGCTTTGAAGACAAGCCCCAGCCCCACCTTAGCTGACACTGAGCAGTTGCTTCTCTGCCCGCGGCCCGGCTTTCACTCAGTGCCAGGGGCTTAGAGACCTGAGAAGCGCCACACCTGGGCACGGTCCTTGCAGACCTGTTCTGCCAGCCGGGCATCCGCCCGGTAAGCGCCACTGCACCACTGCCCCGAGGCCCACCTTGACAGTCAGGAACCGCCAAGAGTCTTCAGAGGGGAAACTCACATGAGTGAGGAAGAAAACCGAGTAGCAACTTCACGTCTTGAATCCCATGAAGCTGAGATCCTCAGCCCTGAGCCACAAAGCCAGCCCTTCCATCCGGTGCAACCCACCCACAGCTGCGCTTGGGCGAGTTTCCAGTGGGTATTTGGGGGGGTTGGCAGAGGGGTCGAGGATTCCAGCCACACACCTGCTTCCCTTAATCAAGGTCAGCTGCA